TAGTGGCCAGTTTTCAGGCACATCCTTCCTTCAAGGTCCCAATTTAAGTCAACAGGATAATAGTTGTTTCATGTTACTTTGATCATTTGTAACAACATATAACAGCTTAGATAAAAACTGCTTAAGCTAATTTTTGGATTCCCTTAAAGGAGGTTCACACAGCAAGATGTTTGTCCTAATTTTCCCCCTGGGAGACAATTCTGCACAAATCATCAGACTCTGTAGTTTGATAATCCAAACTTTCGCAGCTCAATGCGGCCTGTTTACTAATCAGAGAATCTGATTTGGGAGCCGGCTTGGAGAAAGTCACTACAACTCTGGTTTGAATAGCAAGCCCACACAAAAACCAAACCTCTTTTGCACTCTTCAGATTTTCCAGCAGGTTTTCACTGAAGCCTAACACAAGCACATGGTTCTTAACACAAATATTTTTTCCGGAAACTTACCCTGACCTGTCCCTGTTCCAATATCGGACTTTTAAGATGTTTAAATTTAGTTTGTGAAAATTTGTCCCAACAGAAAACATTGGGATGAATGCACAAGACAGGTGATTATGTGGAAATTACATCTGAATTGCTAAATAAGTCTGAATTAATTTCTTTTGTGAATTTGTACATTTTTTATTTGACTCCTGGTATTCCTTTATCTACTTTTATGATAATCCATTTGTGTTTACCCATTTTGCTTGAAAAGCTACTGACTGTAACACAAATGTAATTAAAACTGTCATTGTTACATTAAATATTTATAAAAAGAAATAATTTTAATGCACTGTTTTAATTAGCAAGAAGGTCAATAAATTAAATTAACAAGAAGGTCAATAAAAAATGAATTTGACAAACAAACAATGATAAAACTAAATTGAGTTCTTACATTCAATTATACTAATTGAAACAGCTTGCAATCTAATTGTTATTTCTAACCAGAAAGATTTACTGGTAAAAGGACTAGATGTGCACAAACGCTAAAACTCGATAGAGTTTACAGATATGAATAAAACTTCACCATAAGAACATACCCAAACAGTACTTTTCTCCACATTTTACTTTCTGCAAGTATGTTAAGGTTACTTTTTAGGTTGGTCTAGCAACCATGAAGGCAGACATCCAACAGAAAGACCTAAAGCAAACAAAACCCTCAGAAACAGCATCCATATCCCCATCCTACAGCCATTCTGAGTGAATGGAACAGACAGGGTCAAATATTCTCACAGGTTATCCAATTACTGTCTTTACCAAAGTTAGCCCAAGTAATAAAATGATCTAGTGTGCTGCTCTAAATGTTGCTTGATGCTTTGTTCTCCATATATGGGCTTTTATCTACAATTAGTCTAATGATGACCATTCCAAACAATGACAAAACAGTTTTGGCACATGGAAACTACCTCCTATGGTAGCCATTGTGTTGTGATCCAAGAGTGGCTTTCTATCCAATTAGGGAGCTGGTTATGTCCAAAGATCAGATATGATTGCTTAACTTGGTTTTAAGGATGCTCAGGGATCAGAACGAAAAAGCTAAATGGAGAAGAGAAACTGCTGGGAGAATTTACGAGGAACAGAAGGGCCAGGAAATACTAAATGGTCAGGGAAAAGTGAAAACAAAATACAGTAGTAAAAAATATTTGAAAAAATAAGGTAAAAAAGGAAATTGAAGGGGAAAAAACAAATTACCTTTTTAAAAGTTTAATAAGAAAATGTATTTATAATCAGATTTATGAATTATGGTTCATAAATCCCAGTTTAGACATTCAATTGTTATGCATTTTCAAATTACATTATTTATTGCATTGCATTAATGAATAAGTACAATTTACAATTCCTCTATATTAATTTGGTTTTAAGCGTGAAATTACAAAATTCTTTACAAAATGCATTTCTGAAATGGTTCTATTTTTTTTCAGTTTTCATACATAACAAAGTTATTTATAAACTGATCACTCAAAACCTAGAAAACATTAAAAAAGGAAACCAATAACAATTATTTTAAAATAAAAAGCAAACATCAGACAATATTTTTACTGATAGTTATTTGCAGCTTACTGTTACATTAAAGTAAATGTTCTAAAAGGTCAAACTACACGACTTTCATTATCTTTCCAAATATTGTAAAAACTCCTTATGGGTAATACAGTGTGTGTACAATTTGTGTAAGCTGATAAATTCTGTATATTTATTGTTTGTTTCTTTAATCTTCTTTGCTAATTTGTTTGCAGATGGATCAAGCAAAAACAAACAAAACCATAAAAGGAAGATGATTTATTGCTAGCAAAGCGCCTGCGCAGCAGCTCTCATTATCCTTTTATCTGCTGCGAGCATCAGCCAAACAGTAGTAGGGGGGCGTGTTGAGCTTTGGCGGCGGCGTTCCTTGTTGTTCTGCAACAAGAAACCACAACAACTTGCTGCAAAAGAAGATATGTTTCAAAAGCTTCCAGCCTGAAACGGTGGGTGCTAGAGTTGCTATAGAAACCATTGAGCCCACCAAAAAGCAAAGATTGTCAGAGATATTAGAGATAGAGAGAAAGCATGCATGAACACGCAAACATACAAAATTATTTAAGGCAACTAAGGTGTCTGTCTGAAGTCATAATCCTTTAAATTTTTCCATTGACATGTATAACCTGTTATTACTGCACTAGACAAGCAACAGGAGGACACCACAAAGAAAAAGGATGTCACCAATTCATGAGAACACTTGAAAACAAACACACATGAAAATATAATACATACACACACACTCAGTATATATAAAGCAGGTTAGCTAATGATCTCTAGATATGTTGATTTTTACCATAGTGACTGGGGCTCACTCATTACCCAGTGTACTTTTCAAAGACTAATGTAAGGCTTTGATCTGCAACCACTCTCTCCAACCCTCTTCAGCATTTCCTTCTCAATTACACATTATCCATGTTATTCTCTGAACTCACAGCTGGCAGTGCACCATCTCAGTTTCTCAGAAGACCAATAAGTTATAGCCTAATTTTTACTGCAGCTTTATAAAATCATTATGCTGGTTGGTAAAATGTTAAAGTAATACCTTTACTTCAGACTATATACACTTAATATTAACCTTAGTAATAGCCCAGAACTTCAATCAGTCTGCTTAAAAGGGTAGAGGAACTTCAGACATGCTTTTTTTTCTCCAACATACACACATACAGTACATGCGATTACGAATACAACCAGGCAACAAAGCTGCTAGCCAAAATCTGTGCAGCTCAAAAAAATAGAAATCCATAGCAAAAAAAAAGGCCAAATCAAGCCGAATTGGCCCATATAAGCTTAAAAATCCGATCATGTTTTAATGTGAACACAACCTCCTTAGAACTACCAGGACTTTCCGACAATACACTTGGTGAAAGTTGTCACTGAGGAGAGGAAACTCTAACTTACAAATTCAATTTTTTTTCAATATCAGCAAGGTGTCTAAAAGGGAGGCTACTGAAAACACATAGACAGGAGCAAATCTAATGAAACAATTATTTGTCTTACATACTCATATATGTTGGAACAAACCAGAAATACTGGAAGACTTTTAAAAATCTTAAAGTTAAGGTAAGGATTCTGTATAATATACACAAACAGAAAAATGTTTCTGTTGTCCAAATTTTGCTGTTGTTACTAATTTAGTTAGTAAGTGCTTCGGAAAGCAAGTTAAAGAACACAGCGTCTCCAGTCTCCCCCCAACAATCGATCTGTTCCAGTTTGCCAACCGACGGAACCGCTCAACTGAGGCCGCATCTCATCTGCTCTTCACCTGAGCCTGGCACACCTGGAGGAGAACACCCACATGCAGATGCTGTTCCTGGACTTCAGTTCAGATTTTAACACCATCATTAAACAGCATCTGATAAGAAAACTGGAACATTTGGGCTTCAATACACCCGTCTGCAATTGGCTTTTACACTTCCTCACAAACAGACCTCAGTCAGTCCAGGTCAGACAGAACACCTCTGATGTCATCACCCTAAGCACAGGCTCCCCTCAGGGCTGCGTCTTGAGCCCCCTGCTGTTCACTCTGATGACACTTGACTGCCCCCCAGGTTCACCACCAATCACATTGTGAATTTTGCAGACGACACCCCGGTGGTGGGCCTCATCAGAGACAACCACGACCAGGACTACAAAGAGGACGTGGAGCAGCTTGTGGGCAGGTACAAAGATAACACCCTGATCCTGAATGTGGAGAAGAGGAGGGAGATCATCATCGACTTCAGGAAGAACCGGCCTAACCACGCTCCACTGGTCAACAACAGCTCAGCTGTAAAGGTGGTTAAAAGCACATAATTCCTGGGGGTGCACATCACAGACAACCTCAACTGGACTGTAAACGTCACCTCACTGGTCAAAAGGGCACAAAAGCGCTTACTGTACAGAAGCACTATAGAGAGTGTTCTGACCAGCTGTCTCACTGTGTGGTGTGGAGGCTGCAGCGCATCAGACTGGCGAGGAGAGGTGCCAAACCAAAAATACTGCATATTTGCACCATATATATTTAATGCTCTGAACTTCCATATCAATTGTTTTTTGCACCATGTTTTGTCTCCCACACTGTTTACATTTGATCACTGTTGCCTTTTGTGGAATGGAAATGTTCATTTACTGTCTCAAAAGGTGTAATAAACAAAATTTTGTTTTGTATGCACTCTGTGTATACAAAATGACTATAAACGTTGTATAAGTCTAATTTAACCTCTAGATGTTAAAGCCAGTAAAAAAAAAAAAAAAATATATATATATATATATATCATCTGAAATTTTTGTTAAACAACAATACTCTTTTTTTAAAACAACTGCTTTCTCAAATTGTTGGGTAATGTCACTACTGCTCTTAAGACAAATATTTGCCTGCTTAGTTTCAAAATCAATCTTAAAAATAATATTGAAATCCCCAAAAATTCGTATTAGTCAAAACTTTAGAAATTCTAGAGATTTACAAGAATCTACTTAAAAAAATAGAAACGTCAGTCATTTATGTGACTAATCCTCATCAAAACTCACCTATAAGCTCCTTGTTCCTGATGTCCAGGGCCATGTTCCGAAGCGCTGTGGCGACAGCACATACCACCTTGTCGTTGTCTATCCTCAGTAGCTCCACAAGAATAGGAAGGCCTTTCTCCTTACGGACTGCAGCCCGGATGTACACAGACCACTTCCAGGAAGAAAACAGGAGAAAGTAAATTTAATTAATTTTTTATGAGTATATGGTTTAAATCCCATTAAACCATGGGTGAGCTACTGATCTGCGATGATAAAATACTCATTTATTGGCTTCTTCAGACAGTTTCAATTAAGCAGGCTGAGTATTTTTTTTTTTATCCCAAGTTTATCCCAGATATAGAAAGAAAAAATTGGTTTTATTTAGGGAGTTTTTTATTCATCCTAAGATAACACACGTATGTATTGGCTTAAACCTAAATGGCAGAGCTAAAAGCATTTGCCAGCACTGTCACAGAGAGAGGGACCTTATTTAATAAAAAAGTGCCACACAAATGGAGCCTTTCAGGATACACAAGCAGTGTTATGCCAGAATAGAGAATCTTATATACTGAAGACCACCTGCTCCTGCAATTTTCCTTTCTTCCACTGATTTTTCAAGAGCCCTCCTCTTCAGTCTCTTATAGTCTCTTTGTCCAGACTGCTATCAGTGGAAATACTTGTCAGATCAAAATCAGCTCCAAACACCTCACAGGCAGACTGATGAAAAATACTCTCAGCTAAAACCCCTGTTGTCTTTCCCTTTTCTTCCTCTCTTTCAATTACCATTTTCATTTGACTAGTTTTCTTTTTAGCCTGCTTACACACAGACATGCAATGCAGTTGTATAAATCCCAGCTCACCCTACAGATGCACTCTTACACTCTGCCTTTAACCCTCATAGATCTCTTCCTGAAAGGCAAGTTGCCTTTACACCACCCTGACAACACAACACCTACATGAGTCATTCATAATATCTATGTAGTTCCCACTCCGTTCACGGCTTTGGAGTTTGTCTAGTCCCTGGTATATTAGGTTTCAATGCATCAAGTAGCAAAAACAAACAAGTTTATTGTTTTGGAATAATATTAGTTGGTTCAAGATACAAAATCCCCAAGATTAAGATCTAATAAAACTCTGCAGGTTGCTACAGTCAGCAAAAGCAATATTGCTTCAACAGAGTTTGCATTGAGTGGGAGTTCTTTATATTCTCTGGGAATAAAAGAAAAACGCTGTGTTTCATTCAAGAACACCCCCCACCCTGTCTAAGTGCGTCTGTTTATTTGACTCTTTTTAAACAATATCCTGACTTTTAAAAGCTAGGAAAGGCATTTACTTTGCTCAGCAAGACAATTCTACATCTGTTTTCCTTCACACCTCTCACTGATAATCCCTTTTACGGACATGGATTTAGAACACTGGAAAATAGGACTGCAGAGCAGATTAACCCATATGAAGAACAATTTTTTTTACTGGTGAACAAATTTGGATGTAAATATATTTAAAGTAAACATACAAAAAAAAAAGGGAAAGCTTAAAAACATATTTTAAGTTTTAAATACCTTCCAGCTGCCTGCAGCAAGGTTCTGTAGGGCCCCAGCGGCACCTTCAAGAGTGTCAGGATTTGAGCATTCAGAGAGCAGAGTGAGATATGGCTTGACGATGGTGGGGTGCCACAACATCTGAACCCCTTTGGGAGGCTCTGCTGTGTCTGGAAAGGGACTCACACCATCCCACTGTGAAAGAACAGAGTGAATTATGTAAATGTTGTAATGTTAGGTTTTATTTAGCTTTTTTCTGTGAAATCACCAGAAAATGCAGCAGAACAGTGACTTATAAGTCAGCAGACTTTTAACTTTGACAAATACAAGATTAGATTAAGACAAAGGCACCTTAATTTATGAAATGGTGAGTCCTCCTCAATCTTTAGTGAAACATACAGTACATGGATAGGTAATGATGGGATCCTTGAAAGTAATGCTAAATAATGTAAATAGCAATAATGAAGCATGCAAAAGCATCAGCATTTTTCATGTTTTGAAACCTCGCAACCTGAAATTACAGTGAGTTTGAGAGTTCCTGCATTTTGTTTAAAGAACACAGTTCCAAATTTGAGGATTTATTATCTTGCTTATTGTGAAGATAATCCAAACTAAGAGAGAGATGCTGCAGTACTGCAGGAAAACTCTGTAGAAGTATGATAGAGTGGTGCAGGACATGTAAGGAAACTCTAATACAGTGGTGAGATGTGCTGTAGGGGGGACAGAGGAGTTCAAGTTGGAAGAGGGGCTGCAACAGGGATTGGCTCTGAGCCCCTCCTCGTTTTCTGTGATGGACAGATTGACAGATGAGTTTAGACAGGAACCTCAATGGACTATGATGTTTTCAGATGACCCTGTGACCTTTGGTAAGACCAGGGCACAGGTGAAGGAATCTTTTTCTCTGGGTACTCCGGCTTTGTCCCACAGTCAAAAAACACGACTGTTAGGTTATTGGCTTCTCTCCTTAGGCATTACTGTGTGTGTGTGTGCATGGTTGTATTTCTTTGTGTTTCTCTGTGACTGACTGGTGACCTGTCCAGGGTGTACCCTGCCTCTCACCCGTAGAGTCTTGAAGATAAGCGTCGGATCAACAGTCCAGGGCAACAGTGAACGTGGATAAGAGGTGAAGAAGCAGGTTGGAACGGGTGGAAAAATATATTAGGTGGTTTTGTGTAACAAAAGAGTATCAGTACAAATACATGGAAAGGTGTATATATTGAGACTAGCAATGTTGGATGGTTTAGAGACAATGGAACTGAGAAAGGGACAAGAGGCAGAGCTGGAGGTAGCAAAGAAGTGAAGGTTCTCTTTAGGAGTGAAAAGGAAGGATCAGTTTTGGAGTTAATGCATCAAAGGGTCACTTCATGTTAGATGTTATGGAGAAAAAACCATGGAGCCAAGACTGAGATGGTTTGGACATACTGTAGGAGAGATTATGAGTACATTGTAGAGGGATGTTGAGGCTGGAAATGCTAGGAAGGAGTTGTAGTGGAACATTAGATAAGAGGTGTAAAATTACTCAAACAACAAGTAAAAGCAAAACACCTTAACAGAAAATGGCTTCGGTGAAAATTCAAAGTCACTCAATAAAAGTATTAAAGTTAAAGGGAGTGAATTCTTTATAATTCATTGGAAAGTAAAATTCCTAGGTTTCTACTTAATAAGTAAAAAAAAAAAAAAACATTTTTTTTTTGTTGGATCCTTATCTTCACTTGGATAAAAACAATTGTGATAAAACATGTTGGAAACCTACTTTAGCCTTACGAAAACATGGTGTTCAAGAAGTACTTTGCACAAGAACTCAGAATAACACAAACGTAACTCAGTTAAATAACATGCAACCACAACTGTGCTGTCTGCTTGGGAAAACTAAAAGTGCTTTCTGTAGGAATACAATGAAATGCGTCAATTCTGTCTCGGAGGAAAAAGAAAACAAACAATAATGTAGGATGGTTTATTACTAACGTGGGTTTATGAGCTTTTTAGGAAAATATCTAAAATGAAGCAGCAAAGGAATTTACTTCCTACTCTGGAGAAATAACGTCCCTATTTTCAAAGAGGAGTATGCAACAAAAAAAAAATGCAGTGCAGCGCGGCTCTTCTTCTCTTAATTATATGCATAAACAAATCCTGTCATGATAAATGAAAGTGGTATTTTATTTTTTTAGTGAGTGACAATGTCTTTGTTTGTCTTATGTCTCTAATGTAGCAAAAAAACAAAAATCTCAATTTTGAAAAGAAAAAATACTCAGTGAAGTACAGACCCTTAAAAAACTGTGAGAAGTTATGATATTTCTGGGTTAAATGGAGAAGGATGACATGATGTATACCTTGGAAGGAAAAAACCAAAAGATTTTTGAAATTTGCATTGAGCTTAAATGTTTCTGAGTCAGAAAAACTTCTAGTGATTAAAGAGAAATCAGGATCCGTTCACATCAGCATTTGAAGGTCAAAGTACAAAAAATACACTACATGAAATAACTGCTACATCCACGATCTTAAAATATATACAATTACTATTCAGGTTTTTCTTCAAAAATATTTTCCCCTTGCTACTATAATAAGTTCAAAAGCATACTGTAACAGCTTCTCTCAGAGCTGATTCCCAGTAACAAAGGCATATCCTTTTAAAGCATTTGCCCACTTTTACACACTAAATTTAATTCAATTCAGTTTATTTCTATAGCGCCAATTCACAACACAAGTATTCAAGGCACTTTACAGTTCAACCAGATCATACAGTCAAATTGATTCAGGGTTTTCTATCTAAGGAAAACCAGTTGATTGCATTAAATCATTGACTCAAATGCAATCCCTCACACTAAGCATGCTTGTAGCGATAGTGGAGAGGAAAAACTCCCTTCAGAACTCCAGGAGAACCAGGCTCAGTGTGAGCGGCCATCTGCCGAGGCCGACTGGGGTTCAGATTTAAATAAGTTAACTCCATAAGATTTATTAAACACTATGCTGCTTGCAAGTTTATTTTTCATAACAGCATGTTTTGCAGCAAAAACATTGATAAAGGAAAGCTATAGATCTAAAAGTACTTAGAATGCTTTGTGTGTAATGCAGCTCATATTGCAACAGTGCCTTCCAACGTTATTATCATAAGTAGAATAAATGTTTAAAAAAACTTAATTTTTTTTATTGTACAGCCTGCTTATGTGAATTTCTTTATTAAAACAAAATATGTGTATTGCTTCAGTGTTTTTGAATAGAAAACCTTTTTTTCTCTTTATCCCTCTCTTTGTCCCTTTTAGGTAGGAATGAATCATAGCACTGCTGTATTTTTTTTCAGCAAAGCTGAAGATGCTTTTAACTTCACACATTTGACATCATTTATTGTTTTTTGCAGATTGTGTGTTGTCCATTATCTTCAGTAGCTTACAAAACATTCTTCATTGCACTCATCTAAAAGGTGTCCCGAGAAAGTCCTTGGTAAAGATGCAGCCCTTTTTATCAATTTGTTCAGATTCTTTGTCACTTATTCAAAGAAAATGGAAAGTATTGGGCACAGCTGAACATGGCACTGCACTGTTGGGTGTAAGGATGCAGGAAAGCAAAAAATGATGGCCAGCAAATTATTAGAAGTTCATTTTCCTTGTGCCAGAAAAGCTAAAAAGCAAACATTCTAAAAACATCCATAGAGTTTTTCATATTAGTTAAATTGCACTGCAGGGAATGCAGTTAGTTACTCAAACAGGCCAAGTTTCCTGTGTCTCTATTTTTTTTTCCAAAAACCTTTTGAAATCACTTCAGCTCTAGTAGAAAATATTTTTCCCCAACCTGTATAAGGCACAGGTCTTCATACATTTATACAGTTACTAACCCATACACAATAAATCTAACTGTGAGTGAAAGTGAAACTGAAGAACCAATAATGAACATTAATATTCAATATGTTATACACAATTTATATTAAAATAATTAATTTCACATATGAAAAATAGAAAAAATAAAATTAACCCAGCCACAATGTAAAGAAAAACCCAGCATAAGGATATAAAGACAAAAACCCATTAGTGCTACAGAGGTTGAAACGGTGGACTGAAATCAGCTGTAATCTGAAAAACAAAGACACCATAAAACAGATGCTTTATTGTTATGTTTATTGCAACACAACTAACAGTAAAAGTTTTTTCATAACATAACCGGAACCCTTTTTTCAGATAAGAAGGAACCTCATCACACTAATATCTTTTTTTTTTTTCCAATTCTCTGCTTGAATAACCATATTCCTTCACTGTTTTAAGTCAAATCCCTTACCCCTCAGAAAGCTGTTTTCCTCTATCTTTCTGTCTACCCTTTCAGCTCTGCATTACTGATTCCACTTGTCCTCTTTGTCTCCAGGTAAACTATTCAACAGCGGGACATACAAGATTTTTTTGTTCTCTCATCACAGAAAATGAAAATCATTAAAAAAATATTTCATTAAATTTAAACAGAATTACTTTTTTCTGTGTCCTTGTTTTGTGCTTTGGGCACATAATTAATTTGTTTATTTTTCTTCCTAGATTGTTTAATATTGATTTTGGTTGAATGTTTTTTTTATTATATTTTGGAGTTCGAATACTCCTTTTCTGTAATTAATTTGGCCTTGTTAATTTGTGGCTGTGTTTCGACATATTTGGGAAGGAGCCTACCGCCGCTCTACTCATTCGTCCAGCTCCACCAATGAGGCTGCGTCCTGACAAGGGGCGCACCCATCTCTATTATAGCTGTACCCTTTCTTCTAAAGGATAGTAGCAGTAGGCCGCAGCTGACATCTCCATCCTGCCATGCGGTATTTTTGTTTGGCATTGTTTGGTTGCTGTTTTCGTTGTGATTTTGGCCTGGTGGGACTGTTTTCAATTCTTCTTTTTTAGTAGATTCTTTTTTGCTATACTCTAGTACTAGTAAATGCTTCTGTTGGCCCCCGTTTTTTTTTTTTTTTTTTTGATCGGCTCACCAGGTGCAGCTTTCTTTTAATAATTTGTTTGTTTTTTTTCGGGACATGGGAATCTGAGGATATTTAATTCCTGCAAACTTTGCAATTAGACAAGCAAACTCAAAAGTTGGACTACCAATGCAAAAATTCAAGTTAAGAAAACACTCAGAACAGAAAAACCAGATAGAAAGCAGCAAACTATGAAATTTTCTGCAAACACAAAACCCGCTGTAGATACATAAATTATGCTAACATGCAAATGCACATA